TCTTAAAATAATAGTGCATTCGAATTACCAATGTAAGTCGAACCTCTAATACATCAAAACTAAAGGTAAAAAATAACCTAAAACCGAGCCAGTATCACTCGTCAAGTTTATAATTTTGGAGGTCCATAAATTTTTTGTTAAAGTCATAATTGGGCCCCCAAATTATTTTTTCAATTAACGTGACTTATGAAATTATTAAAAAGATTGTCATCCAATCCATTTCATCATTTCATATAAGATCCTACCAAACGATGAGTGGAGCCTAACTTTTAGAAACTTAACAGAAAAATATAAAAGCATAATTTTTTGTCCTTCCTTCATTCTTCATTTTTTCCCTTTTCCACGTGAGGTAGTTGATGTCTTAGCACCTTTGCCAGACTAATCAATTCACCTTCCCTCGCTATTGTTACAAGTTTTGTTTTGTTGAGAAATTAGAATGCTAATATTATTAAAACTAATAAGAAATATTTATTTTACATTCTGTTGTGATTCCCCTTAGGGCATTTTAATTTCCAAGTCCAGCCAACTTAGCACATATATGATCCGAAATTAACCTAACAAAGTATGTTCCACCTAGTCTTCTAGGAATTGGATTTCCACAAAATAGGGTGGAATTGCATATCTCAAAGTTTGATTTAGATTGGGTACCTTGGAAGCTTCCTTTGCCAAAACACGAGACACTCGATTTGCTTGTCTAAAGTTATGTCTGACCACCACTTGCTTTGGCTGGAACATCAACCACATGCATTCACATATAATAGTATTGTACGCTGGACATAGCATGCTATCGTTACAAGTTACAACCCTATAAATCTTCATAACTTGTTTATCTTTTTCCCCCCTATATAGTGTGATCTTAGAAGTAACTATATTATGATTTTCATGGGAAAAAAGCTAGACAAATAAAGTGACTTTAAAATGAAGTCAAATATTTATAGAATCAGAAATTTTAGAAATATTTAACTTTAATAATTAATAGCGTGAACATTGGTAAGAGGTTGTTTGGTAGTTCAAGTATTACTTGAGTCCAACAATGATCAGTGGTGTAAATGAGAAATTAAAATTAGACACTAATAATATTTAGTTACTCCCATTTGAAAAGTAATCATAAATCCATTTTCTATACTATTCATTTGAAGACCAGCGTAATTAAATTCCTAGAGTTGTCACGATGATTGCATGTTGACATAATTTAAACTCATAACATAAAGCATAAGAATTAATGTTCTTACCATACTTTCATTTGTACCATTTTCTTTTTCTTGGAATCTTTTGGTTATTATAATAATATGCATATCTTTATTATCAATATGACATGCAAAATTCTCTTTTATTTAAAAAGTGGTCCCGTTCAAAGAATTAGTAAGTCATTAACACTAATAAGTAGTATAAATATCCTAAGTCTTGTTTCGTCAAAATCAAGTTTTCCGTTGCTGAAGAAGATTTAGTGATCGCACAAAGATTGAAAGATTATTAGATCAACTTTATTTTCTTTCAACTTTAACTCTTAATCAATGGCGTCTGGGAGTCAAGGTCCTAAGTTAAAGTACGGACTTAAAAAGTAAGTTTCCACTTTTTTTTATATTTCTTATTTCATTTTACTTCATTCAGCTATATATCCTAAAATTTTGTTGGGCTCACAATCTTTTTTCTTTTTTCTTTTCTTAATTAGCTATAGGAGAGACAATGGGACACTTCGTCTTCATAATGTACAAATCTTCTATCAAAATGAGCTACTACGTGAAAGGCTCAATCATGTAGTTTGCGCTCATTGTAGTCCCAAGTTATATGAAGAAATCATAGGAAAAAAAAATTTGCTAGAAAAAATGTTCAAGGAGATTGCCGAAATGAAGAAATGGGTAAATTTTTATTAGAAATTATTTCTTCATTGAATTTTGGTGATTATAATAAATTAAAATTGTGTGTTATATAGCTATATTTGAGTTTTCAGTCTCTTTTGCAGATCGAGGTCTGGTCAGATATCATCAATTATCATTTGAAGAAAAACAACGTTAAAGAAAATGCTTTCCTCTAGAATCTTTTTGGGAATACATGTCATATGCTCATAGTTTTATGGAGAAGAAAAATATTATATTATTGCAATAATTCTAAGGTACAATGATTGTAACTTTGTGAAGGATAAGTTAGTATACTTTTATGAGTTACTCACTTATAGAATTTTTTTTGTACTATGATTGTTATTATTTTTGCCCGCCCTCTTATCTCTTTTTAATTTAATTATTTGCTTTCACAATGGTAGCTAAAGAATTATGTTTGCTATTGTTGCCTTTTCTAAAGTTTGATTGGTTCGACGAAAAGAAGCATCTGTTCTGTTATTCCCAGTGTATACATATATTTCAAACATAATTCCATTTTTTTTAAGTGATAGTATTCCGGTTGGTTTAAATGCATGTCAGTACTCATCCATTTAATATACGGAAAAGGGCCAAAACTATCCCTATCGTTTGCTAAATGGTTTATAAATACCCTCCGTCCATCTATCCGTGCAAAAAAATACACTCCGTCCATCTATCCGTTCAAAAAAATACACGAAGTTAATTCTATTAACAAAAATACCCCCGCGACTAACGGCAGAACTGATGGAGTTTTTTTTTGAACGGATAGATGGACGGAGGGTATTTATAAACCATTTAGCAAACGATAGGGATGAGTCTTTCATTTAATGACGTGGCGATTTTTAATTGGGCCACGTGGCATTATTGACCAAGAATCAAATATGGGTCTTATTTTTACCCATTTACCTGGTCTGACCCTATTTATTTGACCCGCCTAATTATTTTTTTTTTTTTTTCTTTGCTTTTTTTTTTTCCTCTCTTTTTTTTCCTTACACCAGCACAACCCACTCTCATCTCACAAAGAATTTTTAGCGTTTCTTTGTTGAAACAAATCTTTCTTTGTTTGAAAATATGGCTTTGGTGTTAAACTTTATCTGCAATTCATGGCTCTTTGTCCCCCTCTTCTTCTTCTTATGAACATCCCAAAGGTAACCCTTTACTTTTTTTTTTTAACCTTTTATAGATTCAATCTTTATCCTAGAATGTGATAATTTCAAGCTTTTTTAGCACTTGTTTCAATTTTCTTGTGTGCTTGTATCAGTTATATGTAGTTGTTTTTTCTCTGTTATTTCGTGGCTCGTTTGTCTTCTTATGAACAATCCAAAGATTTCCATTACTTGTCCCTTTCAAAGTTTCAATATTTCTCCTAGATTTGATTGATATATTTGACAATTTTAACAACCCAAATGTATCTGTTGATTTTCCATTTAAGAGTTTCAAAACTTATCCTGAGTTTGATTGGAGAAATTTCAGAATCTGGTTTGAATTTCGGGTTATTTGATTTTGGGTTTTTATCTATTTTTAATTATTTGTTATTGTGTGTGCAGTGTCCAATTGGAGAAGAAGAAAGGGGGAGATCAGATGAGTGGAATGGGTGTGATACATACTACCCATTTTTGTAAATGGGTCGGATAAGGTAAATATGTTGAAAAATATATCCATTTTTTGTTCCAGTCAAAAGATGCACGTGGCCAATTAAAAATTGCCACATCAATTAAATGAAA